TTCTTTAACATTGGGAAATTTGGTAGTTTACTCATGAATATTATTTTTAATGGATTATTCACATAACATAGCGTAGAAGCTTGTGAACAAATGAGGCATGTGATGATTTTTTCTTTTCCTTTTTTTCTTTTCTACGTACTTGCTGAACATCTATGGGGATAAAAATATTTTAAGATCCTTACTAACTTCTTTTTTTTTTTTCTTATTTTTCTATTTTTTGATGGTTCGAGTGTTTGAAAAAAGCATAATCCAAATTTGAAAGATATTCCCTTTAATGAAATGTCTGTTGTAAACCTGAGACCTGCCATGAATGATGAGGTTTGGTGCATTGGCCAAAAAATGGTGATAACAAAGATGGCAGAGGTCAAGGAGGTAGGACATGAAACCTTGTGAGATCGAGGCATTTTTCTAGAACTTGAGAAGAGCTTAGGGTAATTTGGGATCTGATTTGGTAACAGATGGAGAACCTTGCATATGTATATCATCTGCAGTCCACTTTGCCTTGTACTTGGTCGAGTTAGCCCAAGCAAAGTGTTATAACATCGCTCAGTATTAACCATGAATATCTGTCATGCATGAAGCCATTCATTTATTTAACATTGGGAAATTGTGGCAGTTTCCTCATGAATATTATTTTTAATAGATTTTTCACATGACACAACATAGAAGCTTATGGACAAATGAGGCATGTGATGAACTTTTTTTTTTAACAAACTTGTTAAACCTCAATGGGGACGAAAATATTTTAAGATCCTTAACTAACTCTATTTTTTTTCTTATTTTTTTATTTTTTTATGTGTTGAGTGTTTGAAAAAAGTATAAACCAATTTAGAAAGATATTTGTTATAAACCTGAGACCTGCCATGAACAATTTGGTTTGGTGCATTGGCCAAAAACTGGTGATTATAGAGATGGTAGAGGTCAAGGAGGTAGGACACGAAACCTTGTGAGATCGACGCTTTTTTTTTAGCACTAGAGAAGAGCTCGAGGGACTTTGGGATCTGATTTGTTAACAAATGGAGAGCCTATGCTTGGATGGTTTTTAACCTCCGCATCTTTATGTTTTCTCACCACAATCTTCTTTATATCTATGCTGTTATAGGTTTTCCTCATTGTTTTTGTTTGTTATATGTCTTCCATTTTTTTCTATTATAATTGAATTTTCACTATGAGCACATCGTATTTTTTTTACGCTTTTATGATTCACCTGATTTGATCCTTTCTTGTCACGTGTTTTGTATATTGGGTTTAAACTTTTCTTCAGAAGGTCCTGGGAGAAATGCTCAACAATTTATGCTCCAAACTCTTGGACTATAGAACTGAATTTACAATTTATAAGAAAACTTTCTTCTTAGAGACTTTTTTTTTTCTCTTGACAATCCAATTTTTTCCCTCTAAACCCATTTTCTATCTCTTCTGGGTTGGATGCCTTAATTGCGTTTTTCTTTTACTCCACATATGTCCCCTCTATTTGAGGCTGCCTCCAAACCCTAGATTTATCACCCTAAGGTCGTCGGCATAGGACATTGATAGATTGGTATCGATGGATGCCTTAATTTCATTTTTCTCTATTCTTCTTTTTTCTTGTTATTTTTACCTTTGGTAGAGGTGATATTGATAGATAAAATGAAAGTAGACGTTGATGGTAATGGTAATGGTTTGACCTGGACACATGGTTTGGAGTTACTCTTTTCTTTTTTACCTATCTGTCATCTTGTCCTATTAGATAAGGGCAAACTTTCTATGCTTCTCCTACAGCATAAAACTTATATACCTTCCCTTATCCAATCGTCCATCCTAAATGGACGGTTGAGATGGCCCTAATCACAGTGTCACATTACATCTCTAAGAGAAAATATTCGTAGCACTATTATAATTGTAGATATGGCTATGATTGCAGAAAAATGTCACAAGAGAAGTTTATTTCTGGCAGGCAAGGATGAGAGATCCTAAAGATTCTTACCAGAGGCATTTCAAATGCCATAAAGTCTCCAAGAAGTTTCTTTGAAACAAACACCATAAACATATTTGACAGGTAGATGGTACCCTTGGCTTTAACTTTACCTCTAGGAGCTTTAATAAGAAAGACATGAACTCGCCAAGTTAGAATACTACTATGGAATCAAAACCCGAACAAAATTGCAGCGCTTCAAGCCTACAAGTATAATGCGAAGCTTATAATAACTCTTTCATTTTCTATTATTGTTGTTGGCGCATTGATTGCCACTAGAAGTTCAATGAGTTTGAATTTTTGTTTTTTTTAGGACATTACCGTTGGTTGGTTATCCATGTAAAAAACAAATGCCACAAAAAAGCATTTGCATGCCAAAAGCCAAAATCGTATTTGAAGTATAGAAAATTGAATTTCTTGTCCACCATATTCAAGCCTTATCAATATTCATTATCGAATATGTGATAGTACAAACTAGTGGTAAACATCACAATAGGAAGAGGTCACAAGCAATCTTCATATACAACATGCTAACAAGTTTATAGTTGTTAGCTAACAATTTAACCACTTGTTCGAAAATTCCAATCAATTTCACAGAATAGTAGGAGAAGACCACTGTTCTGGTTTCTTTGTTTTACCTACTGCAACAAGTAAAAATTATACCAAGATTTCTTATCAAGTGAAAATGACAAAAACTTGATATAATATGAAGTAACTCAACTCCCCAAAATAAATGTTTCAGAAACCAGCATGATTCTGCCACATAAAATGAAGGGGAATGCATCGCCTTCATGTCACCTCTTGGCACTACCAAGCATTTCCACACTTACCTATATATCTCCAATATCTCCTCCATGCTTGCCAAGCATTTTGCACGTGCACCCCATGATTTTTCATGCATTTCTCAGGGTAAAACATTTAAAGTATTCATCAGAATTTTCCACAGAATTTTCAGCACACATCTAAATGCTTTCCTTTTCATAAAAGATTCCCTGCTGCTCTTTCCTACAATCACTTAGTGCATATCATCCGGATCCTCCGTAGTAATCAGAAACTCTTTTTGTCGATGGCACTCACGCACAAGTGCAACCACAACTAAAAACTGTCACTGCGGTGTCATTTATGCTGCCACTCCCCATACTCTCACCTCTCACTCATTGGCGTCTAAAACTCTCACCCAAGAGGCTCATAAACATGATCAATCAACGACAAAATGTAGACCTAGCTTTACAATTCTTTGACCATGCTGTGAAATATCACCCCAATTTCTTTCATAATCCTGATACTTATCATATGATCATAGAGAAATTAGCCATGGCTAGGGATTTGAATTCCATGGAAATTATACTCAAAGAGTTAAAGGATTCCAGAATTTCAGTGAAATAACATTCATAGATGTTATTCCAAACTATGGCTTTGCAAACAAGCACAAGTTGGCCCTTGAATCCTTTTTCAGGATAAATGAGTTTGGGATAAACAAGCCAGTTCTTTTAATACTCTTTTGAATGCAATGATTCAGACCAAAATGCTTGATTTGGTTAATTATATGTATTGTATAGGAATTGCAGGAAATTTGGGATATTTCCAATTGTTTTTACCTGTAATATTCTAATTAAGGCCTTGTGTTAAATGAATGATTTGAAATCAGCTTTCTAGGTTTTGAAGGAGATGCCAAGCTAGGGTTTTTTTTTCCAAATACTGTAACTCTGTAAGCTGTGACTTACTTTTATGAGTGGATTTTGTGGAGTAAAAAGGATTTTTGGATGAAATGCTTGAAAAGAAGTTTATACCATGCCCAACCCCGTGTTGCAAATTTTTTTATCTTATATGTCAAGAAGGCAAGGTTGATGAGGCTCGTATGCTATAGAAGAAGCTCTTAAAGAGGAACTACACCCCGATAATGCTATTTATAGTATGCTCATCTATTGGCTTTGTAAAGGTGGTAAACTTAAAGCGGCGAGGAAGCTTTTGATGAGTTTGAGAATGGGTTTTATCCAAGTACATTGACATATAATAGAATGGGGAGTTGTAAGAGGCAGGGTGATTATGGGATGATATGCTCGGCAAAGCATGTGTTACTAAGGTTTTTCACTTACAATAGGTTGATCAAAGGGTTTTCTAACACTAGAAGGGCAAGTGAAGGTTTTAGCATATTTGGAGAAAATCCTACACAAAGGGTGTGAAGCCAATAAGTCCACTAATGCCCAACATAGTGTGCTCCCATGATGGGGTTAGACGGTTTAGGACCATAGAGGTTGGTATGTGGTCTAGTATTGTGTTCCCGAATGTGTCTTTTATGAGGACATTCATTTTTAGTAACATGCTCGATGACCAAGTCTATTTCTCTCACCCTTCAAGAATTGTACTTTTCTAGTCGGAGTTGAACTTGGGTCTTAGAGTTAATCTCATATTTTTCAGGCAAGGCACCCATCACATTTTCAGCGATGTAGTCCCTAATCAAATTGCCCTCCATGAAGCTTGATATGCACTTTCATCATCTAAATGAAAATTTAATTGTTAACTAACTATAAATGCAACTGAAGTTAAATAAACATTTAGGGAAGGCCCGAATGTGTAGAGTGTTTAGTAGGCTTTGCAAGAAGTAAGTGATTCTCAAGCTATATGTTAACAAGGGGCATATTTTAGTCCACCTAAGCCTCCCAATATCCATGATATTTTTACACATGAACCCTAACTTTGCTTTCTCTCTACAGGTTTCATATTTGTCACAATCTTGCAACTCCTTGTTGTTCACCATCATTACTGCCGAAATAAACAAAGAACCGGAGAAAAGACATATAAATCGTTATCAAGAATAATGTAAACACCAACATTCAAAATAAATGATAGGCTACAAGACTTGGATGAGCGTCCAAGGTTCTGGGCTCATGTAGACACTAAGAATGTGACACTCATGTCTAACACTATAGAAACTAAGATACTTTAATCGCTTAAAATCCCACCTCCCGACCCGTTGAATATATATATGAATGTGTTGTATCTAGAAGGGGCTAAGTTGCGTTTCTGACATGTATATTGGTGTATGACACTGACACTCGTACCCATATCCTTGTAACATAGATGATGGAGCTTTCTTATTTCTTAAAGCAAATGGAGCGCACCTTGATATTTTTCAAGAAACAGTAATATTTGTTGAGGGAAAGTAATTTATTTGGAAGAAAGCATAGACCTATCTTGGGCATCTTACAAATGGTTTTGTGAAGATCTCATTGCTTAAAGTAAGAACTATAGCTGCTTCATGAAACAGAGAGAAGCAACACCCTTGCAGTGATGTTCTTCGGAATCCACAGTTAACATGTTAGTCAAGTGCCATTATTTGAATTATGCAAAACAAGATAGAAAATCTAGGGGTGTAGCAATGCTAGTATTAGTTATCCTGCTCTAACAGGAAATTGTGGCTGCTGTATTTCAAAAACCATGCGACAACTAGTTTTCAAATGAGGAACTATGCTCTTACAGGATATTTAGCTGTTTCAAACCTCCTAAAAAAGCAGGGCACCTAGTCATTTTTTGAAACTACAAGTGGCAACCAAGAGTTTTTCGATAATATAATGCAGCAAATTGGAAATTTAGACTCATTTTCACGAAGAAAGAGTAAGAAATTACCATATTTTTACAAGTAAGTTCTGATCAGTTGCTTCTGAGAAATCAAATTGGCGGTCTGCATCTACTGCCCAGCTGGTGAACCATGTAGTTGTATGGAAACCTTCTTTGGATATCCCCATATTGTATAGAAATCCAACACTTTGAAGAAGGTTCTTCCAAAAACTGGTCATGATTCTTATTTGATGGTCACTAATTTTCTTTGAAAGCAAGTGGGCACAGCTAGCCGCTGGACGAAGATTGACTCCCAAAACGGATATCCTTTTTCTTATATATTCCAGCCAATTGCCAAAAAGAATGGGGTTCCTAAATGAAATATCTTCCCAAAATAATGCAAGAAATAAATGAATCTTTTTTTTAAAAAAAAATAATAAAAAGAAGAAGGAGAAACCAGCCATGAAATGAAGCAATTCATTCCTACAGGGAACTTAAAATTCTGGTTCATTTCACTTGAACTATGAACTATGCATATTTCATATTAACTGTGAACTGTGCACAATAAATTATGTATAATTTAATAGTGCTCTAAATGAACATTCAGATATTTCCGTATTACATGTCCATGCATATGCTTATGTGAGCAATGATCCTATGATTTCATAGAATGCTAATTCTCTATCTGTGTATCTTTCATAGGATATATACAGATACAAGAACCAGATTGTAAAGGATCAAAGGTATTTGTATACTAAAGAATAGGGGATTACTCATGTAAGATTTCCATTGGCAAAGATGATGACAGCATGCTGCAAAGGCAGGCTGCAATTGTCTCCTGGTCCTTTATGTTGCTTAGTGTGGCAGCACGTTAAGGTAAAGTCTGCAAGCACAATTTTAACATGAAATAAAGAATGCAGTGAATTACCGAAGCCAGTAATGCTGACAAAGTTATCTTCACATGCATTCCCTAGTTAATTATTGGGTGACAAATTGAATTTGCCAACCTGTGGCAGGATCACATAAAAGTTTCTCAATTGCAAGGGAAGAAACACCCCCTAAAGTCTACACATTATTCAAGTCCAAATCATCAACTGCAATAGTTAAGTTAGACATTAGATGCGCAAGGGGGATGTAAATTGACAGTATTCAATAAATACATCTATACATGCAATGTTAAATATTGTCTGCTTATCATGTTAAATGTGTTAGAAAACCAAATGAGCTCCCATTGAAGATAGTCTTCATTAGTTTAATAGTGATTATGTATGGAACTCAAGGCCCCTGCAAGGTCCCCTGAGCACTGGGCCCTCTAGCACTATTACAACACAATTGTTTAATGAACTTTCACCATGCAAGAGCAATTTGAGGGTGGACCAATGCAACCCATGGGAAAAGCATTCTGCCATTACTGACCTGGTTATAGTATAAAAACTCGACAATCCTCTTAACTTGATGGTGAAGCATTTCAACAGATTGCTATGAAAGGAAGGGTATATAGCTAATGGATTATGGATGATTGCAGTACTTCATGAACCCACCTCTTGAAAGGGAGCCATGCCTCAGCAGTTGGAGCTCACTGCAAAATAAATTCTTTCACCTTTGTATATGATATTCCATCATTCCACTTAGACAATCAGGTATGTTGTCTTTTGATGAGTTCTTTTGTGCTTTGAATGGATACAAGTTGTATCATGGCATACTGCCTAAACTTTTCAAGATGAATATTATGGTTTCTACTGTTCCAAGATGAGTTGAATCTGTAGGCTGAGGGAAACCATTATATTCTGCCTAAACGTATTTACTTTGCCTTAAGCTTTCAATCATTTTCCCAGTGGCAGCTGACCAAGGTTGTCATGTCTCGGATGCAAACAAAATTCTCTTTAGGCATGTTGTTTGATCTGAGGTTTAGAATGGAACTGTCCAATGATGAAATCCGAGACCTGATAATCCTGCTTTAACCCGTAAATCCAAATTTCCTTCCTCACCATGGCAGGGACATGATGGTGTAGGAGCCAGCTAAATCAGGGTTCTTTTTGGCGGAACATCTTTCTATGAGCAGCTTTGGCCAAGTGATCTTCCCCTGCCATTGCCAGCGAGGTATGGCTCTTCCCAGTCCGGCCCAAAACGTAGCTTCTAGATTGCTTATTGATTAGCAAAAAGGCTCTCATGGTGGACCACATCCAGCGTGGGGGAATACACTTCACTGACATATACAAATGTATCATGTGCAAAACAAAACTAGGAATCAATTGGGCTAGTAGGATTTCTATTTGCGCCTGGAGACTAAACTAGCGTTTGAATATTTTTGAGCCCACTAAATCTCTTGAGGTGTCTTCCCAACACATTTGGCATGAAGCCAATGCGATCATGGATAGCCTCACCAAAGAGGGGGCTTCCCAAATAAATCTTGTAACCTTGGTCTAGTGGGCAGTCCCTTTTGTTTCTTTTTTGTACAATTTTGTCTCTGTTCTTTATTAATTAACTGTATAAGAGGTCTGGTTTTACACTTGTTATAAGTAATCCGAAAGAGTAAATAAAGTAAAAAAGAAGTATTTGCTTTCCTTGTGAAACTTGCATAATATCTATAGTTGACTTTATCATTTGCCTATTGTTCATGAAATTGGAATGGATTTTGAAATAGTATTAATTTCTGGAAGTAAACCTTAGGTTTTGTAAAGAAATATTGATTTTACTTCTGGGAATAATCACGGAAAAAAAAAAAAGCAAAGCAGAGCCTCGAACATAGTTTGGAAGTAAAAAGATGCATTTTATCTGTTAGCAAAATGGCTAGAACTCCTTGAATATTTTGAAACCCTCATTTCTAGTAGACAAGCATTAAAATAATTAGTTTGTGTATTTTCTTTATCGGTGGATGGAGGCC